TGTACTAGTTTGCATTCCCACCAGCAATGCAGGAGAGTTCCTTTTCTCCACATCCTCGCCAACATTAGTAACAGAATTTTTTTAACCAGGAAGATGACTTGGGCTAAAGTGGACTATTTTATAACCCATGCCATGGACATTAGAATGAGTTGAACCTGCAGGGATATGGTGGCAGTGCCAGCTGGAACCATTTGCTACCGGTGTCTGTATATAGATCATTCTCATGTCCACCAACACAACCGGGTTTTCAGCTCTCCCCTTTCAATGATACAGTCCTCAGAGGGGAGAGTTGGGGGTGAAGAATGAAGCAGGGAACTCTGGCCTCAGGTTGGCAGACTTCTTGAGGTGCAGGTCTGCAGTTTCCCTGTGCTGGGCCAGGAGCTCCCGGGAGCGCTGGGAGGAGCTAGTGCCCCAGTTCCCTATCTGACAGCTGCACTCTTGTGAGGCAGCCCAGAGCAGGGCAGGCAGTGAGGATGCTGAGTTGGTGTCGTTTTTTTCACATGCCCTCTTCATCTTTCAGCACCTGTGCTGTCCAGGGAGCTGCACTCTATCAAAGACTATGCATACCTGGGATCCAAGGTGGGATTCCCTCAGCCCCGAGGCTCCATCAGACTTTCACAGATTAGGCAGCCGTGACAAGAGCCTAATTCACTTGAGAAAGTAGAGACCATGAGGAGGGAACGAGAGAGAATGGAGGGGCAGTTAAACTGAGAAACTGACATGGCCATCAAAAATAAGGGAAAGCAAAGATAAAATGAGCAAGCAAACTGTAAATCAGAGAGATTCAGCAGGAGAAGGGAAGGAGAGGGATTAAAATGGAAGGGATGAGCACAAGTCTATGGTGACGGCTCACGGGCGCCTTGGTGGTAGCACTGGTATGGGGGCACCTCGGAGGAGAAATCAAGCATTGTACAAAAGTGACAACAATGTGAAAATATGTAGATAAAAATAAAAAAAAAAGAGAGGGGCAAAAAGAGAAGTGGGCTCTCAGGAAATACAAAGAGGGGCTCTAGAGCTCACACCCTGTGAGGCAGCCTGGAGTACAGTTAGGTCCCTTTGGCTGGTCCACTTGCAGCTGTCGTAAGCAATGAGTTTCCCAACTGGGCGCTGCAGGAGACAATTTCACTGTCTAATGGAGCTCCCAGCTGAGATACCTTTTTTTTTCTTATTTTTTACAATTCAACCTGCTTTTCTTCATCCCTGCATTGTTTTTTCAACCAGATCCAGCCTTTCATTCCTCATTACACTCTCAGGGTCATTCTAAGTACTGAAACGCCAAGTGTGTGCATCCTTCCCTACCCCCACCCTGTCACCAACACAAATTAGGGCGGCTTCTCACATTCACACACAGATTTGGGGATCTGTCCTCATCTCTTCCCACTGTTCTGCCCCTTTGCTGAGCCCCTGAGGGTTTGCTTGTCAGATACCTTCTGTTGGTGATCCAGCCCCTGTGCTTGGCAAGTAGCCATGCTGATGTATTTTTGTACTTTTAACTGTGATCTGTGAGACGGAGCTAGCAGGAATAGTTCCGATGAATATGCATTTGCAATAAGACTGCATTTCAGTATGGGAGTCACAGCAGAAAGTCACCCAATTATACCACTGCTTGGTGTTAGCATAATACTTTGAAGTCACTAGTCTGAGTGACTTCTGGAAGAAGGAGGGTCAGGAGACTGGCTGTCCATTCAGTTGACTTTCTCACTGGCTTTGCCGTAGGAAGAATGATGGGTTGAGCGCTGAGGTACCACATGGTGACCCCATCACCTGTTTGGAAAGCCAATACATTACTTTGAGCCTGGTCTGACTCTGTGAGCATCGGTACTCCCCCGAAGCCTGGGTGTGGTGGCAGAGAGGACCCCCGTCGTCTGGAGGAGGATGAGGGATAGCGGTATCAGCTGTGCTAACTGCACTTTGGGAAGAACTGGGCTGCAGTCCTCCTGCCCACATAAACCTTGACCTTCATCTCTCTGGAGGCTGAACGATTTCCTAAAATGCATTTGCTTCTGAACAAAGAAGGAGAAAAGGAACTTAGAACATGCTGGCCCTAAAGGACCCAGGAAAGAAGTGGAAAAGACAGAGTGTACCCCTCTGATTCCCTGATTGAGTTCAAGGCAGACAAGTGGGGTTGGTCCACATGACCTGTTCAACCTCCATTCTTTCTAGGAAGACACGGCACATTTCTCAGACATGCCTGAACTCCCCCAGGCTTAATTGCTACCCAGTTAATTGCTCTATTGTTTAAATAGTCTCTGAGGACAAGAAACAAATTCCCACAAAAGGCACAGACCAGCCACAATCAATCACTCCACTGAAACCAGCCCACTCTCCCTGGTAGGATGCCGACCCCTGAGGAGGCTTCCAGAACAGAGGGTAGCTAGTGCCACCCCTTTCCTGGTCTGCCCGTCCTTCCTGTGCCTCAGTGGGAGTAACGGCTCCTGCCTGGAAGGCACAAGAGCAGCCAGCAGCAGTTGATTCTCTGGGGAGACCCATGGGGTCCTTCAAGGTTATTGTGTCAGTTTCCAGTTGCTACTGCAACGCACCTAGTGGTGTAAAGCAACACATAGTTATTAGTTTTCAGTTCTGTAAATGACAATCCAATACAGGGCTCAGTACAGGGCTGATAATAAAGTATTGGCAGTGCTTTGGTCCTCTCTGGAGATATGAGGGAAGAAACTTGCCTTTGGGAGTGTCTACAAATGCCCATATATTTTGGCTGTGGGTTCTCTCCTTCCATCTTTGCAGTCACCTACATTGCATTTTCCTGACCATTCTTCTTTAATACTGCTTCTTTCCCCCACTTTTAAGGACTCGTGTGATTACACTGGCTCACCTGGATAATCCAGGATAATCTCCCCATCTCAAGATCTTTAATTTGATCTACAAAGCTGCTTTTGTCATCTAAGGTGACAGGTTCACAGGCTCTGGGGGATTATGTCACTGAGAGTGCTGGGGAGATGGCAGTGGGAATTGTAGCCATGGGTAGCCAGGGCTCCAGTCTCCCCACTTTCAACCTAAGCCAGGGCATCTCCGTTCTTATCAAGCCTCCTTATTGAGGTTTAATATAAACATTGACAGTTTGAAAATGACTTATAATACTGTTTAAAAAAAAAAAAAGGAAAGCCCATACCTTAATGCTCCATGCATCCTCATCACATTCACCTTGAAAGTATCCCATCCCCCCAAAATGCTTATGCCTTGAGAAGTACGCGTGTGCACGTACTTAGGTGAGCAGAGGTCAGTCTTCAAGGAGTGAGGTCGGCCACCCCGCTTTCTCCTGCATGAATACTTGACCTTCCTCGCCAGAGCATTATGTTCTAATGAGCTTTGATTACCCAGAGACCCTGTCGCCCTCTGTGCGCCATCCAGGACATGTGTCATTTCCCTTCCACTGGAGTGTGTATGTGCAGAGCATATTACCTATGTCCACCTCTCTCTCTTTGGACGGGGAGCAGAAAACCTCTGAGGCTTTCTAAGAAATGAGGGCAGAAAGTTGAAATAGAAAGTTTAATTCTATTCCATCAATTTTTTTACCCCCTTGGGAGAGAAGTCCTGTGTGGGTTGGGCTTGCACGTCAGAGCCCTTCAAAAGTCAGGGAGATCATTATTTGGGAGAGGAGTAATAAGACTGCCATGCAGTAAAAGAGAACTTATTTTAAGTAAGAATTATGGCTGCATGTCTTATGAATCATCCAGGTAAGGTGAGGCAGGATCAGCTGAAAGAAGTCATTCCTCATCTCCCAGGGGCCCTGAACATGCTCACCTGTCCATCACTCATACTCATTTGATAACAGAGCATCTACTCCATGCAACTGAGGTGTGTGTGTGTGTCAGGCTCAGTGAGATTTGACTAAACTCTAAAGTAATTAATCAACCAAAATCATTGGTGGGGAAAAAAAGGGGAAAGATGAAGAAAAGGCATTATATGGGGGAAATCATTTTAATCTCATTAGAAAATTATGCCTAGACCAGTAATAAGTCAAGAAGCCACGAGCATCTCATGAAAGATGATTAACCTTGTGTATTTTAGGGGTCACTGAGATATGAGCTCATTTATTACAACTTCTTGATGGGTGGGGGGTGCCATAATAAATGGAGTTTTCTTCTTAAGCTTGTAGTTTATAAAGGCCCTAGGGCTGCTTAATGTAACTTATGCAAAGAGGGGTTATGTGTGACCTTGGGGCTCAGTCATGTACAGTTCTCTTTTAAGGGACAAATGGAGGGATTGTCCACAAGCCAGGAGAAGAGAAGGATCAGTGCTTGCAAAGAGAAAATGCCAGCTCCATCTGGAGGCAGAATTTCTCTCCTGACATCTGGATTCTAGTTGCAACTACTTCTAGGAAGAGGGCATAGTGTGGAACCTGTAGTTTCTTCACATATAGATAATGATGTTGAAGCACCCAGAAAGTGACTATAACAGCACCAGGAACATGTCAGAAAAACAAGCAGAAAATATTATCATGGGATACTTGATTAATTCAACTCTTTGGGGAATAGGTATACTAGTCCACGAGGGTTAAAAAGAAAACTATTTTTGGTTTCTTTTCTTCTGGAAATTTTCCACCAATGTTTTACTCTGAACTACCGCCCAAGTAAGTAATGGTGCAGTAAAGATAATTACATCTCTCTTTTTTTTTATGATGGAAGATATTATCTTGCTTTCAAGGTCATTGTACTGGACAGTTTGCAGTGTGTTGCCCTATGACTATTTGCATTTGCATCCATAATATGGGGTTTGTGTGTGTCAAAGGGTGGGGGAGAGAGAGGGGTAATATTTGACTGAATCTTCAAATCTGTAATTGATCCCAGAATGTGCTCCTGGAGTTGCTTAAAACATTCAAATACCAAATATACAAGATCATACTGACTTTGTTTCTTTAGGGGTTCCCATTAATCTAGGTTTTCTCACATTTGAGAAGCAGCATGGAAAGGACACACTTGACCTTGGGGGTCAGACAGATCTAGGTCCAAAGTCTATTCTCTTAGTTTTCCCCTCTGTGACCTCAAGCACAGGCCACATTATGACTTAATCATTATGAGTCTCATTTGCTTACCTGTAAAATGAAGTGGGAAGAGTCCCTGTGTTGCTGGGATTAAAGGTAATGTGTGTAGTTGTCTATCTGGTACAATTGCTTCATTTCTGTTTGCTACTGTTATTTTTAGCTTTGCTTATAAGAAAACGAAATCCAGCTTGGATGAGGCAGCTGACTCTCTTCTCCAAACCTCCTAGGAGAATGTAAATATCAGATGGTCCAATGTTGGATACCGGTGGTCATCTAGACATCAGGTCCAGGCACGATGTGAATATGCCAAGTGTCAGATTTCTGGAACAAAGCCCACTCGTGTTGTATTTGTTGAATCTTTGTCAAAAATCATACTCAATGGGCATTCTTGGTTTTTAAAAAAATAAAGGCAGGTAGTTAGGAAAAATGAAGCTCCTAGATGACCACTGACATAGCCAGGTGAGGGAGGGATGAGGTCAGTAAGGCAGGAGTAATAGGAGGCCTGGTTTTGTCTTTACTTGATGACTTTTTGCAACTTTGTAGAAGGGGCAAAAAAGAATTAGTGGCAATGAGGGCAGCCGATGTAATTCCAATCAAACTTCTGTGTTTCAATAGCCACATCTATGCCTGGGCAGCCTCACAGTGGTGTAGCCAGCTTCCTTCTGGTGACACATCTGGTTGAACAGCTGGATGGCCAAGGAGGAGGATGGGTGGGGGGCTCACAAGACATGGGGTGCAATCCTCAGCTGCCTCATTTGCTTGTTTACCATCATCTGGAACATCTGGGTTTGCACAGCACGGGGCAGCCCTTGGATACTTCTTTAAATGCTGTCACCTTCCAGCGCTCCAGCTGGCTGCATGGCACAAAAGGGGATGGACCAGGCTGGAAGCCTAGCAGGCCCACAGGGGGGCCATTTGTTTGGGAAATTGCAGAATTAGTGTCAGCTAAACAGTGCACATCCTGCTGTGAGCTTCCATTGGGAAGCACTGAGGGAGGAGAGGTGGGTTTTCAGAATCACACCTGCAGCAGCTCCGGGATGCTGGGCCAAGATGCTTGGCAGCTAAGAGCTAGAAGGGGGAGGTGTTCAACATAGACTCCACCAAGTTTTGAAAGTTTTGTTTCAGTTTGGGTTTTGGAGGAGCAGGTTAGCTAGCTGACAGTATGTCTGAAGCAGTCATTGAAATGCTGTGGTGCTGGTGTCAGACCTAGCCAGACCCCGGGCACTTCCCACTCTAGCTACCTGACCCTGGGCAAGTTCTCTGCTTCCTTCCTGCCTGTTAGAATTGTCAATCCTGCAGAAGTGCAGTATCTGTTGCACCGATAGAAAAAGTAGGATGGCCACACACACAAAATATTCTTTCAGTTTTAGGAGTCCAGGGCAGAGAATCTATGGCTTAATTGGCAATATAAATGGTTGCCGTATTGATTAAAAGTGGATAATATAGGGTACTGTGAGATACCATACATGAAGTAGGTAGCTTTGTGCCAGCTTCTAGGAAGGGTTCTGTAAACAGAAGCTGTAGTATGAGAGCTTGATTGGGTGGAAGCTCGTGATGGAGCAGCTGAGTCACGGCCTCCACTGCCAGCCTGTGGTGCTGCTGGGATCGACCATGTCACTCTGGGAAGTTAAGCTCTCTGGGCTTGGGCTTGGTTTCCTCATATATAAAATGGGGGTGATCACAAGACAGTAAGTCCTCACTTAAAGTCAATGACAGGCTCTTAGAAACTGACTTTACACAATAACCTTTAACAAAAGTCCTCAGATAACGTCATTTAGCTCAATATCCTCATGGGATTTCTCTTTTCTATAATGAAATGACACTGAAGTAAATGATGATATTTGAGGATCTGCTTTACTCACCCCAAGGAGGAATGTTGTGAGGATGGCATGAGGAAGAGCCTGTGCCAGCCATGAGAGAAGGGGCCCAGAGCCCTTTTGCTCACCCAGACCTCAAGCCCCTTGGTCTTTCTGGCTGATATCGCTTCCTAGATTATGTCTTTTGCTGATATTCTTGTGGGGTTTACTGGGGTTATGGCAGTGTAGACAAGTTAAATGTTTCATGTGAAGAGCATCCAGGGAACTGGGATGACACCCAATTCAAGAACACCCACTGCAGGTGTTCATATGTAGGTATTCCCCGGTGAAGAGTCCACCAGGGATCCTTGATAGGGAAGTTCAAGAGCACAACCACTCCCTTGATGAACATGACCAGTCAAACTTCCCTTGGAAGTCACAGAGCCATCTACTTCCTCCTTTGCTCTCTACGCCCTGACTCGTCCATTCCCCTCCAACACTGCTGTCTGGTACCAACATGAACAGAGTGCTTGGGACATTTAAAAATAAAGTTGCTATTAATACTTAGTCCAAATCACAGCACTTGCTGTTGTTAGCCTAAAGGAAATTCTGCTAATGCTTTTTAATTCTGGCCGGTGGCTTCGGCTTTTCTGCCAACCAAAAGCCCACTTGGGAGAGCAGCACACCTCCCTCTGTCTTGCTACAAGGTTTCCTTCCAGTCTTTTTGTAAGAATCAGCTTTCTGAAAATGTGTGTGATCTGTGCCCCGAGAGAAGGAAGAAGATGTCAAAAAAAAAGGGGGGGGGGTCACTTACCTTTAAAGGGAGTCCTGAACAATGGGAATTTGCATATTACTTGCCAAAGTTAATGGCTTCCAGGTGCTATGGGTGTCAGTGGTTACCTGCTGGTTCCCAGAGAACTCGGTCTCCTCACTTACCCCCGTGTGCATGCCTTCTGACATTGCCAGTGTCCATCCGGACTCAGTCCCATGAAGGACAGCTCTGGCTGCTATGACCGCCACATCGGGGTGGACTGCTCGGACGGCTTCAACGGCGGCTGCGAGCAGCTGTGTCTCCAGCAGATGGCGCCCTTCCCAGAAGACCCGGCCTTGTACAACATCCTCATGTTCTGTGGGTGAGTTTGCTGGGATGCCTGACATTCCGTGCTAACGCCGGGAAAGTCGGATGAACTGGACACCTGAGGCTAGCCCTTAAGGTCTGAGGAAGGAGACTGCAGGACTGGAAGAGAAACACTATTAAAGGAACCGTTAGGGAAAGTCTAGTCTCACCTCTCTGACTGAGGAAACAGAGCACATGGTTTTCCTAAGTCATTGCCTGTTTAAACCAGAATTTCCCAAACTGTGTTTTGTCGACCTTGGTTAATTAGCATCTTCTGACAAAAGGATGTCAAAAGCTTGTTATAAACAGGTTAATTATTGAAGAAATGGAGAGGAAGTGTTCGGAGGCGTGGAAGCATAATTAAATTCTCCCCCCAATTCTCTTCCAGCATTTTGTACAGCCAGCCCCCTCAGACACAGGGTCCTTTCGTGTGCTTAAAAAGCCATTGATTGAATTTATCCACTGCAGTCCTTTTGTTTCTCAGGATAAGCCCATGGGGAACAGGGCAGGCAATGCCACCCATTTTACAGATGAGAAAAGTAATGCACAGAGATTAAGTGAATCTCTCAAGAGCGGAGCTGGAAGTGGGAAGATTACAAGCCCTAGAATACAAGCCCTCCTGGTTAAATACAGTTCTGTGATACATTTATAAAGCAAATAACGATTTGGTCCATTCTTCTACCCCTACAGTTTGCTTGTATATTCGTCTTTTTTTTTCCTTACTTCCATTTCCCACTGCCTCCTCCTCCTTTGGGTTCACCTTCCCCCTCCCCTCTTGTCTGTCAGGGAATGCCCTTCTGTTATGTCACTTACCATCCTGGCCACTTGACCACAGAAATGAATGGTGAGTAACTCTTGCCCTCAAGGATGTCACAGTCTAATAAGCTTGCAATGAAAATCATTGCTCCAAATAATAAAGCTATGTCGGACTGTTACTAAAAGACAGCACCTGCTGAATAATCAGGAAAGAAGTTATTCAGTGGAGTGGGAATGCTTTTTTATTGTACTTCATTTTGTTTTATTTCTTTGCAATTGAGCAATTTTCATATTCAGTTTTTTATATAATTGCGTTTCATAAATGGAAGCTTGCTCTAAATTTTCACATCTCTGTTACATTAGTATGGTTGACCCACTTCAATTAATAGAGGTAAACTTTTAGCAAAAGCTACAGAGATTTATTTACTTAATAAGCATCTATTGAGTAGCTACTTATGCAGAGGACCTCCTTACAAATCAGGTACAGGAGAGACAGCAGGGATGAGCTCTGGCCCCTGTCCTCAAAGGCGCTACTTGGGGGACACATGCCATGAACAGAAAGAACTGGGGAGACCAGGCAGTGTATAAGGAAAGCTGACAGATACACTGGGCAGAAACCAACCAGCTTCAAGATCCTTTCCAGAAACTGCTTAAGGAAGGAGCCACTTTTTTTTTGGGGGGGGGGTCTCAGATCTAGGCTGGTGCCATGAATCTTTTGTGGGTGTCAAGTCACATTTATTGCCTGGGCTAATGCAGTAGTTCTCTTACTGGATTCTCTTCTATTTTAGTCAGAATTAGGTATACATGCATATTTAGCAGTCTCCAACCCCCCCCCCCACACACACACACTTCTACGTTTCATTTGAAGTTCTTATGTAAAGATCAAATCACATGCACTTCTAATTAAAGAATTCTACTCATACCTGTTTATACAAATATGGAAATGGAGAAAACAAAGAGCTGTACTAGTGACCCTAATGAGTGAATTAAAGTTGCATTAACAAGGCCCTCCCTCGGGCTGCAACGGTTCCGACATAGCAGTGCAAGCTGCCTCAGTGTGAGTTCCATCCCTGGCCCCAGAGGTGACCCACATGGTGCAGCAGACCTCTCCTGACCTGCCCACTGCTCCCCTCTGCAGTGTACTTTATCCTTCTGCCTGTTCTGCTCCCCACTCTGTCTCTGGTGAAGCCTTTCACCACCCCTTCACTTCTAGCCTGTACCCCAGCTCTGTATGCATCAATCAACCAATAAATCTTTTTTTAAAAAAAAGGGGGGGGGGAACAGTTTAAAAACAAAGTTGCATTAACAAACATGGATCTCATTTATATCTCTGCTCATGATGATGTGTTGATTTTAATGAGTACGTACTGTGTGCTCCACACAATGTAAGTCCTTTACATCAGGATCTCACTTAATCTTCTCAGCAATTCACAGAAGCAGCTATTTGTTCCTCTTTTCCAGATGCGGAAACTGAAGCTCACAGAGCTTAATCAGCTGACCCAAAATCACCCAGTAAGGGGGAGAGCCACTGCCATCATAATACTGCTATTCACAACTTAAAACTATGATTATTTGTTCCTCTACAGAGAACAGAGGTCTTTATCTTATTAGGACAATTACTGTAGATGGTAATAAATGATATGTTTTAATGTCATGGGCATCTATATAAATTTTAGATCTGGTATTTTTCTAAGGAGAGACCCAAATTAAATGAATATTCTTTTGTAAATGACAGTTTTACTAAAATAGTTCTTACTTGAATGAACAAATTATATTCTTTTCAGTATAACAACAAATAGAGTCCATTGAATGACTATAGTTCATTGACCCATACTTACCAACATTATTACTGCTCTTCCATTAGAGTAACTGTACACAGTTAATGGGGAGGACACCAGGGAGGCATTCACATGGCGTGCCCAAGGTCTATTTAGTTCAGGAAAGTTACTCTGAATGGAGGGGGAGTTAATATGAGTTGATCTTGTGTTTGGATACACTCAAACAGAATACAGCAGGAAGATGATCAATCTTTCTAATTTCTTATTGACTTGTCACAGAGCCAGATTAAAAAGTTATTCATTTCTTGAGCGTGTTTTCATGCTATCTGTGGTCTAATTACCCTCCACAGGGTCTGGTCATATGGATGAGTCTAGAGAAAGGTTCTAGAATATCTTGAATTTATACTTCTTAATTCATGTATAAGCTTATTGTAGGTGATCCCTGCCTTGACCTACCTAGGAAATCACACCTCTATTAGAAGAGAGAACTCCCCAAAATTCTGAAGAGCACTCATCTATAAAGAAAAATGTGGTAGATTCTACAGGATCACATCATGGAAGGAGGTTTGGTTTATAGGCTCAAGAAACTGAATTCCTGGAGATGAAATCAAATTAAGATGCTCATAATCTTTGGCCATCCAAAAGTCTCCTGAAAGCATTTCCTCCTGATATATTGGGTTGCCTTGAACACATAGCTCATTAATGGAATAACTTCTTATCTGAGTTTTCCGCTGTCTTAGGTGCATTGAGGATTACAAGCTTGGTGTGGACGGACGTTCTTGTCAACTCATTGCGGAGACCTGCCCAGAAGGAAGTGACTGCGGGGAAATCAGGGAGCTTCCCATGAACCAGACCCTCTTTGGAGAGATGTTCTTTGGTTACAACAACCATTCCAAGGAAGTGGCTGCTGGACAAGTACTGAAAGGAACATTCAGGTAAACTTCATGTTCCTAGAACTGATTATTTAGGGTCCTTGATGGCTCTTTTTCCTTGAAGGTTTTAAACTAAGCATGCATTCCTATCTTAGAACAAGGTAAATATGATACTCAAAGGAATGGTCTCTCCCGTGGTCTTCTCCAAGTCTGAATTCTTCCTTCCAGAACCATGCTTCCTATAGGTGTACAGTGAAGTGCTAAGTCAGTCTTCACCTGAAGGATTTTCAAATGTTCCATTTCTGTGTTCCCTGTATAGATGAATTCAGAATAGTAGTGATACCAACATTACAGATTTTCAGGCCGCGTCTCCCAGCCAGGCACAGATCCCAGGTTGCTGCAGCAGTGCTGAGTCTCAGCCACTAGGGCGACAATGGATCTGTGTCTCACGAAGCCGCAGCAGGAACTTTGCAGATGCTTAAGCGAGCAAGTGAGGAGGCAAACTGGTTCAGAGAAAGAAAAAGTTCAATGAGGAGAAAAAGAGCAGAAATAAAGTAAGACTCTTGGGCTGGAGGAACCAGGCCAGGGAGGGGCAAGGGAGCCAAAGTGGAGTCTTGTCGCAGGGAATATAGCCCTTCTTTCCCTGATTATTCTGGGGCTCCACCAGTCTCTTTGGATGGGTTAGTTTTTGGTGTCTCACCCACTGTCTTAATGTCCCTGTGCCTAGAACTAAGTTTCCACCTCCCATCCCTTATCTGAAGAGTCCTTTTTCTTTATTGTCTTTGTTCTGGAAGGTCCTATTGTGCCCTGGGGTGTTTGGAATTTGTTGCCCTTATCTCTGGATCCTCCTAACTCTACTGAAGTCAAATCCCTGAAGCTGCCTAATTACCCCTAACTTGCCTTAGAATTCACCAACCTCAAGTAAGGTCCAAGGATCCCTGAGGGTCCCTGAGATTTTTTTTTTTCATGGGATGGTCAAGGTCATGCCCTTTCCAACCACACAGAGGCAGGATTTTCTTCATATACTTCAACCCAAACAATATATACAGTGAGTTGAATGCAGAGGTGAGAACTCAACTGACTTCTATTAAGTGAGACATTAAAGTATTTTGCAATAAGTACAAATAATGTCACTTCTCTTATTATATATAACATGTAAATATTTAATGGGTTTATTATTATTATTTCAAATGAATTAATATGTATTTTAAAAATTTTCTCCTTTGATTTTGTATATGGTAAGCCTGATAGCTACGATTCACATTGACAAAAGCCGGCTTAGGGCCTTCAATTATTTTTACAAGTATGAAAATTTCCTGAGAACAAGACATATCAAACCATTGATTTAAATTATTTGTAGGAGATTCCCCATTTGAACCATGTCCCTGTTCTCTCTTAGTGTATTTCTATACACATTCCCCTTAACCCATCCTTCCTGGGAGATGATGATGATGATGATGAAAGTAGAATATGGACCAGAAGTTGATAGCAGCCTGGGCTGAGATTCTTAGCAGGAAGAGTAAATGCTTGAGGCAGTTCTTGAGGTTGATTGCTTTTTATGTTATACACAGGAAACTTCACTAGTATGCTCCCTTTGTTTGCCAAAGGCAAGCAGTGAGGTGTCATAACTAATCTTTTGCGGCTGAGTCTTCACTGCTGTCTAGAAATGAGAACTTTGTTCAGACCTTGTGGAGAGCAGTCAGGAAGCAGGGACTGGGATGAGAATGTGAAAAGAAAATTCAGCCTCTTGTATAGGTCTTTTCTGGTGGCTTATTTTCTTATCTCCTGCAGCTCCCATCTTGTTTCTCAGCCCCATGTCTTACTCCAGACACCTACATCAGGTGGAGTCAAGAGGGAGGAGAAGTTTTTGGTACACAAAGAATGTGTTCATTGAGTTGACATATAGGTTGCCTGAGGACTGGGGTTCAGCTGAAAATCAGCCTCTATTTCCAGGCAAAACAACTTTGCACGAGGATTAGAACAGCAACTGCCAGATGGTCTTGTGGTGGCCACTGTCCCCCTGGAGAATCAGTGCCTGGAGGAAATCTCAGAACCCACCCCTGACCCTGACTTCCTGACTGGTGAGTGTCACCCTAGACAACCCTCCCTCCCTCCCTACTTTTTTCCTCCCTTCCTCCATCACTCCTCCCTTTCCTACCTCTCTCCATTCCTCCCACCCTTCCTTCCTCTCCCTCCCTCCTCCTCCCCTTATTTATGTATCTATTGGTTTATTGCTTTTAAATGAAGAAAAATATTTTCAATTTTTTTGTCCTTATTCTTGTTTCATGGAGGTAATGTTGGCTGACAACACTGTATATAATTCTGAGGTACAGTTTCACCCCTCTTTAGATACCTGTTAACACATCACACCCACCATCAAAACTTTATTTAACCTGCAAAAATCAGACAGCTTCCTATTGTTTCATAAAAATCAAGACTCTTAACCTCACTTGCTTGGCTTTTGAAGCAGTGATTTCAGTGATAAAAACTTTGTTATAACATTGAACACTGGTAGCATTATTTGTCAGTAAAATTGTTAATATTATTATCTCATCATTTGAAAATGGTCATAATAATACTGTTCTTTCCCTGCTAGTCTTCTAGGGGTTCTTTGAAAATAAATGGTAGAATAATGTAAGAGTTTAGAGTTTTGGGTGGATTAGAGAAAGTGACCAGGTCTCAGTAGCGGAGGAGACAGAAGGTGGACAGCTGTCATAGTCTCAATATTTGTCCCTGGCACTGCTCAGTTCCCTGGGGAGGTGTACAGAGCAGGCTGAGGGAGCAGAGTATGACCTGGCACTGCTGCCACAGGTCACATGCCCCTGGGTTTGGGTCCTCGCTCTGCTGCTTTCTAGCTGTATGAGCCAGACAAAGCCATCTCTCTGAAAGAAGATCACAGCCCCAAGCTGCTTTGAGCCAGGGCTGCTCCTCCCCAAGCTCATTATGGGCTAAGGTGCAGATTCCTGGGAAAAGGCAGGACCCTCAGGGGATGCTTCTTCTCTCTGTGCCTCTGAATAATCCCTGTTGGTGCCTCTTGGCCCAGAGAAGATGTTTCACTGTGTTCCAAAGACCCATAAATGGCAGACCCATAAATTGGCAATCAACCAAACACTCAGCATTACTTGCTAGAATACCAAACATGAGCTCAATTTCGTTGCTGACTTCATTTATTTCCACATTACTTCTTTCACTTCCTCATTCTATGTCTTTTTCTATTCTGTACCTTTCTTCAGTTTTCCTTCCTTTTCTAATGTGGATTTTACTGAGTCAGCCTAATCCAACTATCAAGTTATATCCAAAAGCTAGGCTTAAACCTGGATAGTATCAGAAGTGGGTCTGTCTGAGGAAAGTATGTAGTGATGATAGCATGAGCTCTGGAGCCTGACAACTGTACTCAGCTCCTCAGTGGCTGTGTGCTCTCAGACAAATTACTTAACTTCTCTGTTCCTCAGATTTTTCACCTGTTAAGATAATTAGAATACTGTCTTCTCATTAGGATGGATAAAGAGATAAGTTAACATTTATGAAATTTTTAGAACAGTTTCTGACACATAATAACTTATATGTTTCTTAAATGAATAAATATACCAAAGAAGAAAAAAAAATGAACAGTTTAGCGAACAAATAGTGTTGTCCTATAGGAAAAGGAGAGAGGACAAGAAAAAAACAAGTAGATATGTTATGAACCAAATGTAAACCTTGAATTCAGTTTCTGCCTGAAAGACTTCACACAAACACACCACACACACACACATCACCTCCTTACCCCCCCCACACACACAGAATGAAAAAAAAAATTAAAATTAAAATGCAGCCTCTGGACTTACCCCCTAAGCCTACATCTCTGGTGTTAGGGAATCTCGCCTTCTTGTTTCCACATCATTTTCTGGGAAACACTTCCCTTGTGTGTAAAATGCCTTGTAAAGGGTGTGTGAGATAGCGCCAGAGCATGGGGTAGCCTCCACCCCACTGATAAACCACCTGCTTCTGTTTGAAGGTCCACCGGGACCTTGCTCTGACACATTGTAACTTACTGTGCTTGTGAAGAGACATGGCCTCCATCACCAGGCGGGGAGGAGCCCAAGTCGTGTGTGCTCTAGGAAATTTCTCATGAAGGAGCAGATGGGTAGATTTTAGAACCATCAGAAGAACACGTGTTTGATTCGACATCTTTGGCAATAAGGAAGAGATCTGAACTCGGTTCTCATCCACCATAGAAACTTGTTTCTCCCCTGTGCCCTTTGACCGCTCTCACTTTGGGATATTGGAAGAAAGGAGTAGAATGAAGCTGGATGTGACACTTCTTTATTTATGGGCCTGAGACAGTGAAGCCAAACATTTCTAAGAGTGTACAGGGAATGCTTGTTGACCTACTTCCTTTCTAGCCTTTGTTTTTGATCAATTATGACTAAGAGGTGGGCCTAGTTAGGCCAAGAACATATATTAATATTTGATCTAAGAAGGAATCATTCTTGTTTTTGCAAAGTCTAGAGTAACTAGAAGACCCAGTTAAATATGGTTGCCCAAATTTCTTCCATCTCAGATTTTTAGCTCTGGTAATGTTTTAATTGTGCCTTTCCTGACACAATTTCCTGATAGTCACCCAGAGACTATCCAGTCACCCAGTGTTATGTGACCCCATAACACTGTTTTAGGTCATAGTGCCCATAAACCTGCAAGCTCAGAAGATTTTAAAACCAGAGTGATATTCAGAATCTTTCAGATCAGCATTTCTAAGTGTAGTTTGTTTGTTTTCATGAAAAACCAGTGCTTCACTTGATTACTTTTGGAAAGATCCTAATATCCACCTCGTAGCAATTCACAACCTCTTAGCATGAAACAGGCTCCAAGAGGCCCGCAGGATGAGAAAATTCCCTTTGACTTTATTTAACCTGTCAATACCAAATCTGTGGAACTAGAGGATCTTTTTACACGCCGTATCTATTTCCATCTTGCAGAATGACTGGCTTGAAGAACATGCTGGCAAATATTGATTTATGTGTTTATCTTGCTGATGACTTCCCCTATATCAAAATAACACTTAAGAACTCTGAGCCTCACTGACCTTTTTGTGTTGCAAGTTGTATGGAAATAAATGAAGACCAAGCAAATGAGACCAAGTGAGGCTGTTTATTCACAGCTTGTTTGGAAGGGGTCAGTCACCATCCAGCTTTTGGGCAGAGACTGGAGGGCACCAATTGAATGGAAAAGTTTTTATTTTGGAGTGGAGCAAAAGTGTGTCCTGATTGAAGCTGTGGGTATGTAAGTGGGACAACTAGCTAGGAATGACCCCTTCTCTACAATTGGTCAGCAGGTCTGTTTGGTTTTCTCCGGTTGAACCTAAGTTGGAAGCAAGAACAAAAATAGGCAAGAGTATTAATCAAGCCTTGGCCGTATGGAGACGGTTGACACAGGGGTTATCATTTGGCTTCCTAGACTGGTTGCTGGAGGTAGTGAGATGACTCGCTGATAGCAGACTTATAGACTTATAAATTCTTGGGTTCATTACTGGAGATAATAAGTTGGTTTCCTGGGCTGATTGCTGCCAACGGTGGGACAGAGTTCTATTGTTGTATGTGGTCTAGTCATTATCTCTTGTATTTTCTCTGCCTCACTTGAGAAAAAAGAAGTGATCCAGAGTTCAGGCCAACCAGGTAGAAGGAACTGCTTGCTACATTCATAGGCTCAGCAAATGCTACACTCACTAAATCTATGTACACTTTAGAACTCTGTGCTCTTTGGAACTTCTTCAGTTCATACAAAAGAAACAGACTCTTGGCTTTAGAACTTTGGGGATGATAGGTCCCCTGACATTTCAAGTAAAGTAACAAAAGAAACTTGCTTTCTTCTTGTCTCCTTCCTCCTTCCTTCCTTCCCTTCTTCCCTTCTCTCTCGTTTCCTTTCTTCCTCGCTTCTTGATTATACATAGGCATATTTGATCAACCCTTTTTCAAGCATAAGTAGGGGAATAATAATATTTTCCCATGTGAAGACATTTTGGTATGTTTCATTTGAAAAAAGAGTCATCCAGAAATATATTCCAAGTGATAAAATAAAATAAAAAACTACTGCTGACTGCATGTCAAGGGCACACTGAGGAAGAATCCTATGACTCAGCTAGAAAATAAATACTTTAAAAAATTCCCTTTCTTTTTTAAAGATTTATTTATTTATACATACAGAACTGGGGTACAGGCCAGAGGTGTAGGGGCAGTGAGAGTCTTCACCAGAGACAGAGTGGGAAGCAGAACAGGCAGATTGATGAAGCACACTGCTGAGGGGTGCAGCGAGGGTCAGAAGAGGTCTGCCTGCCATGTGGGTCACCTCCGGGCCAGGGACTGAAGCCGCACTGAAGCAGCTGCAGCTAGGCAGTGCTGCGTCCAAACCCGTTGTGCCACCAGGGAGGGCCCAACAGTTCTCTTTCTTTTTAACTAACAGGAATATTATCCTGTAAGTGGGCACAGAGCAACTCTGTGGAGCATCAGCAGTTATGTAACCATTTCCCTGACTAATGCATAGCATAAGTGCACTCAGTAGAATTGTTGCTTAGCAGTTACGGGAGGGTTCGGTGGTTTGGCTCATCCATGGTGAATGCAGGCTACTGCCAACGCTCCCCACTCCAGACAGACACACTTCCTTTGTTTATCCTTCCCTCTGTTGTTCTAAACTAACGCTTGGGAATTTATAACAATAGCAGCAATTAAGAAATGTCAACTTGACACAATTTGGGGGGATGAGAGAGGTCTGGAGAATGATATTCTAGAAGCCATCCCTATATATGGTGCTTTGTCTTTTTTCAATGTGTTTCTATACCTGTAATTTTATTTTGTTTTGACAATCTATGTGTAAATTAGGTACAGCAAATACTGTTATCCCCACTTTTCAGACATGAAAACAGAAACAAAGGAGTTGCCCAAACCAAACTTACACAGCTGGTTGGAGACAAAGAATTGAAAAAGAAGCAAGAGGTCACCTCAGCTAAGTCCCTCAATTTTCAGGTGAAACAAATGAGAGAAGATTTCCTAGTCAGGAATTCAGAAGAAAGAAGTTCAGGCTGGGGTGACCCAAGGGCAGTTAGAAACTGTCCCTGCAATAACACTGGGGCCTAGCACTCACACCTCCATTTCCTTTCCCTCGGAAACTCAAGTTAAAGGGAATGCCTTCTAGTATAATAGCTAATATATGTCTTAATATATATCCCACAGTATGCATTTATAAAGCATGCATGTTTTATGTCCTAGTGAAGTCTGTGGCAGGAGTCAGACTTGTTAAGTTTGAATTTCATTTATATGCATTTAAACTCACAATCAGGGGCTCTTTTGTGGCGTGGGGATTAAATCTCAGTGCTGTCACTACAGTGGCCAAAATTTGATCCTGACCAGGGAACTGATGACCATGGTGCAGCAAACCTCTCCGTTTCACCCCTCACCTGCTGCTCCCCTCAGCACTGTCTCTGTCTCTGGTGAGTCCTTTCACCCTCTGTACCTCTGGCTTGCACCCCAGTTCTTGTATGCAAAAACAAATAAATAAAACATTTAAAAAATCAAATCAAATCATAATCAGCTTAAAAACCAGAGAATGTAGTGGCATGATTGTTTTCACCCAGATTAATGCCTCAAAGAAAAATATTTAAAAGGAAAATATACTGAAAGACTTTTCTTAGATTCAGGGAACTTCAACTGCTTGAGTTAAAATTGAAGAAATTGATTCACTAAGCACCTCTCCTGACCTTTTCCCTTTGTGCCTTACCAATAATTATTCCCATATGACTCACACAAAAATAGAAATTTGGTAATTACTCAGCTAATTTTGATAAGAGTTGACAAGTAGCTAATTAATCCCTCCCACTCTTTATCCAGTTTAGGTATCTCTTTAGTTGATTTAACTGGAAGGAAGCATGAGTCAAAATGGCAGGCTAATACACTATGTGTTATTTCCATTATCTGTATGCACACACTTGTTCTCCTGCTTTCTTTCTATCATATGTCTGTCGATTTATCTATTTAAATTTGCTGTGTATATTGCCATTATGTATATTTTGCATATATACATATGTATATTTTGCATATATACATATGTATATGTGTATGCCTGTATATCTGCATGGGTGTATATAACTCATACATATAGCAAATATTAGGCATAGAAAAGAAGCTATATTGGTTCCCTAAATTTAGCAAGGTAATTTTTTTTTTATTTCCTGTGGCCTAATTATTTTGTTTCTGTAGCACTCTATATTTATAGTATTGGCTAGAGTTCAAAAAGGGTCTGACACACTTCCTCCAAGGTGCTCAAACAAGAATAGCCCATTATAACATCTCTAAGAGGCTACCAGGATGTGTTTGTTGACAGTGACCTTGGACAGTTGACCTAGCTTCTCAGAATCTCACTTCTTCCATCAGTAAAGGGGGAACCACAGACAGATAAAGGGCCTGTTACTGTCTGGCACATGGATGGTGTTGAGCGCAGGGCCTGCCTGCCCTTTGATGACTTAGTCATGCTGACACTGTCCCTCCTGGTAAAAAGAAATAAGCATTATCAGCCTCAGAGTAATTAAAACTTAAATACTGAACACAAATCAGTTAAATGGGACAGAAAAATCAATGTTATCTGGTCGTGAGCTGAGTCAATTACTGCAACTATTAAAGAGAGTAAAATCTGGTGTGTTACAGTAAGGCTGGAGTTCCGTATAAATTTATTAAGAGAATATTAGCATAGAATTGTTAAGCGCCCCAACCAGCCTCAGCTGCCTCTGAAGCTCCATCCTGGCTCATCCCGATGACTTGGGATCTTATAAAAACATCATCTCTAAGCCTCAGTTTCCTCGTGCATAAAACACAAATAATACACAGTTCAGAAGAATCAAGTGACTATATATGCAAAACATTTAGCAAAATAGTTGAGCAAGAGTTCAATAAATGGTGTCATTACTATGACTCCAGAAACTGCATCAGAGAGAGTTTTCTCACAATGACACTCCTGTCTATTACACTTAGGGCTTGTGAATCAATGCAAACTTTCAGCCTGGGTCTCCTCTGTCCCTAGGGATGGTGAACTTCAGCGAGGTGTCGGGGTACCCAGTGCTGCAGCACTGGAAGGTCCGGTCTGTGATGTACCACATCAAACTCAACCAGGTGGCTGTCTCTCAGGGTGAGTACAGCAGCATGCTGTTCCTCCTGCCTGCTTGCAACTCCTTTCCAAGGGTACAGCCACTGATCCCATTGTTGAAGAGGTAGTCTTAGCTGTAGCTGTGCTGTGAGATACATAACCTGTTCATTCAGATTCACCCTAAAGGGCAAAGGGCTCAAATCAGATCCTTTTCTAAGAATAGATAAAATTGCAAGTTTTATCTTGGACTATAGAAGAGCTAGAAAGGGCAAGGCAGGAACCACTGAAGATAAAGACCTACTTCAATTTTTTTTCCCCCTGGGGTCACCCAGTGTGTAGAGGATCTACAAAAGCGGATATTTTATAAGTCAACAGATTAAACTTTCCAAATGCAGAAAGCATCCCTGAGAGTTTCCACACAATGAAGAAAATGAGAGAAAGAAAACAAGAGGGAGGTGAGTGGAAAATAGAAAATAGCTAAGTTTCCAAGCCAGCGAAATAGAAATAGAAATAGGTAGCTAGATTCTAGATAAAAGGATAGATAGGTGACTTATAGTGATGGATGGCAGAGATAGATAGGATAGACAGATTCAGTTTTTCCTCTATCTGTATCAATAGGAGTAGTAAATTCCAAACTTACTTAGAACACATTGTTCCAAAACAGAACAGTGAGGCTCCTTATATAAGTATTCTTTAAAATTTTAGAAACAACTGCCTTGAGTCAAGCATTTCCTAACAGTTAAGGAATTTCAGTGTGCAATGGGAAATTTCCTATAAATACAACTGTAATAGAGGTGCATATCTTTATTCCACTTTATCCCCATGGGCGAGCAGAATGTTATTTAGCATCTTCCTCTGAGTCTATTTAGAGGATATACCACATCTGAAGTGTATACTACAGTTGGATTCTACATGTTAGATTAAAGAGAAATGATATTGGGGACACAGGATGACGAGGCAGAGAGGAGCCTTAGGGTCAGCAATAAGGAGGGACTGACTAGGGCCAATGTGAAGGGGCTTCAGGGTGGAGACACAGGGAGTTATGAAGAAAGTGACACGTACCCTCATAAAGAGTGAAACTGTGCAAGAGAAAGAAATCGTTTCGAAGATATAGAGAGTATTTCCATAGGACCAAAGGGACTTGCATTTTTTCAAAACAGGAAAATCTTATGGGAAAGAGAGTTTGGGATAGGGATCTTACTAAAATAATCTCTGCTGGTACAGATAACTGCTAAGAAAGAGCTAAGCTGCTGTTTATTCTAGAAAAAGGTGGTGGTTGCAACCCCACCCTGTTCATGTACTCACCTAGCATGGGTGCTATGTTCATCAGGGCTTAACAAGGAGCCACTCTATTGCCACGTGCCTTCAGAGTCATACCTGGCATCCCAGGTAATGTGGACTTCAACACTTGGGGTCTCATACCGGGTTGGACTCTGCCTCATCCTGGTGGGACAGAGGTATGGAGAAAGGACGATTATATAAAGCTGTCAATTCCAGAAGATACTGGATTTGGAAATATTGCCTTTGGTTATCATTCTGACAAGTATATTCTCTTCACCAGGGAAAACAAATCCAAGATTTGACTGGGAGCAGGGTGAAAAGAAAAACACGTCCTTTCTGCCATTTGTCATTGCCTAGTCCTTAAACTTATCATTATCTGAAATAAATAGAAACAGCGCTTTAGTGACTGTTTTACTTTTCTCCTTCCACGATTTTTCCATTACCCATTTCTATGTCTGCGTCTACACTGTACAGAGTGGGTCACTACCCTCAGTCAGGATACCTTTCCTCCCTGACTTTGTACACACACACAGTCCTACACACAAGCAGCTGAAGTGTTAGGGAGCAATATTTTATCTTATGAAAGAAAATGTTCTCTGCTGGTGTTTTTGTTTCTATTTTATATTATGTTATTCTTTCCAATTTTTCCCCCTCAAATGCTATTATTTGAGCTCACTAAATTGATTTAATGTCATGACTTGTGATTTGTTGGAAAAAAAAAGAGAGAGAGAGAGAGAGAACAATAATGTTGCCTAAGCAGGGGGTGGCTGAGATCTGGCAATGTTTTGTTCAACATGCACCAAGTTAACAACATAACCAACTAGCTTGAGGACATAATCATTTGGGAACTGAAATACTGAAATGTCTGAGTTTGCTAAATGAAAAAAAGCCCTGACAATCCCCACCTGTTCTCGGCATCACTTGAGGCCACACTGACTTCTCCACGTTTGAAGTAGAAGCCTCCGGGAACCTAGATACTCTCCTTGTGAGTCCTCATGTTACTCTTAGCTGATGTTTTCTTCCTAGCCCTCAACAATGCTCTCCACTCCCTTGATGGAGCTACATCTCGTGGGGATTTTGTGGCTTTGTTGGACCAGTTTGGCAATCATTACATCCAGGAAGCCATCTATGGCTTTGAGGAATCCTGCTCCATCTGGTACCCAAACAAGCAGGTCCAGAGGCGACTCTGGCTGGAATATGAAGACATCAGCAAAGGTGAGTGACATGATGCAAACTCTGCACCGTATGCAGTCAATGCCCACCTAGGTATGATCTATCGGGCCAAACTAAAGGAGGCTGAAGGCAAAGGACTCATTTAGATGTTGCTTCACTGCTCTGTGCCCTTCTTTTTTTTTTAAGATTAATTTATTTATGCATAAAAGAACTGGGGTGTAGGCTAGAGGTATGGGGTGGTGGTGGTAGTGGTGGTGGTGGTGAGAGGATTCTCCAGAGACAGACTGGGGAACAGAACTGGCTGATCTACTGAAATACACTGCTGATGGGAACAGTGGGTCAGACAGGAGAGGTTTGCCGTGCTATGTCGGCCAGCGCCCTGGCCGGGGATAGAACTCATGCTGCAGTGACTAGTGATCGCTTAATAGTACTGTGTCTTTAACCCTTGTGCCACCAGGGAGGCTCCTCTGTACCCCTACTTAAAATTGGATTGTTTATTAAAACTGAGTCTCAAAATGGAAGTGTTCGGTTGAAATTTCAGATGCAAATGTGGTCAAAATTGTATGATCACTATGTTAGTTATCAGAAAATGTCCTCTAAGATGTGGCTCCCATGCATTCTTCTATCTGAGCAATGTCCAAGCGTTTGATGACTCATGGAGAAGGGGAAAACTACAGTATCCCCAATTACTTCCTGCCTCCACTCATCCCAACCCACAGTATCTGGCAACCACTTACCTGTAACTGCAAAGTAAACCCCTCTAGCTCCACCTGCCCTGTATGGCCCATTTTTCAACTGATTGTGCTATAGGGAGATATCCACTGGCCCAAGTGCTTATATAGATCTGGATTAACAGCCTCATAAATAGATGCTTTGTCCACAGTTTTAATGGCAAATTAGTATTTAGTCCAAGAAGAGGAAGACGTTTGAGGTTTTGAACCCTCTGAACTCACCTTTGGTAGTGGAGGAGGACTGGCTGATAAATGTATTCTGATCAACCAAGGCTGGTTTGCCATTCATGGATTTTCTTCTCCTGAACTTATCCTTATGGCATCCTGATGAGGCCACAATGTGGATGTGTGAGTTGCTAAAGGCCAAGGAATGAAATTAACACAATGAAAACTCAAGAAGTAGGTCATCCTAAGATTTAATGGCCAAGGTCCCTGTGAGACCAGGGGCCCTCTGCTGTCAACAGTTCTGCTGTGGGGGAACGTGCCCCTGTGGCTGAGATGCCGTCAGTTCTCTAAGCCCCTGATTTATCTCCTCAAGAGGCAGTGGAGGCGCAAGAGCCTGTCTTTCTGGCTGGGAATGCTCTTCCAGAAAAAAGCTAAGATCTTATATCTAGGCTGCAGTTATTACAACATTTCATCTCAAGCTTTGATTTCTCTAGACTCAAAGACATAATAACGACAGACTTTTGGTTTCTCTTCAAACTTGAGCATCTTAAAATTGTTCTTGTTCCAAATTACTAAGAAAAGAGTGTCATGTAAGCAAATATAGATAAGACCAGTTCCAACTGGCAAATTGTTCTTACACTTCTCTGCCAGAATCTAGTGGCTGAACCAAAGGGCTAAATCCTCCTCAACTTCTGTTTAACAGGGGTTCAAGGATAGTCAGACTCAAGGACTCCTTGGAGATGAAAGTAAAAGTCTGACCTGCCCCAGAACTACTGGCATTTTCCCTTCTTCTAGCCCAAGCACTCAGGAGGAAAGTTGACCATGGCCTTGGCACAATGCCCAATGCTTCTTGATCTCAAGCCATTCTTACCATATGGCAGCAAGTTTTTTCACAGTCCAACTCTTGCCTTTAGTTTGTATAAATATGATATATGCATTCTCCCCACTTGTTAACAATCGTAAAAGACATCCAAACATTTATTTTAGTATGTCTGGGTTGGCTTCAGTTGTCCATGTAGAAGCCCCACCTACTCAGCCACTTCCAGATTTTCTCTCTACATCCTAGGATTTATCTCTTTTTTGTTTGTTTGTTTGGTCTGATTCTTATTCATAAATATTTTTCTCCTCCCCAGACATTAATTTCCTTTTATTCCTGTATGAAGGCATACAACCAATTAAGAATTATGAGTGCATAAGACAAAGAGAAATTTCCTTCCACTTTTCTGCATTCTGAGAGGATGGTACTTATACACTAGTAGTGGTAACATTCTGAGAGGCTTCACCAGCCATGACCTACAAGTGACACTATTTTGGGCTTGAATCCCTTGATTATATGTTCTTGCCTTCTCTAACTTTAAAATTCTTTCTAATGAAGAGTTTCCTTATACTTTACTTCTGATGACCAGATACCTAAAAATATTCCTATATTGGATAGAAAAGAAGGTTTTCTAAGGGTCTGATGAAATAGAAGAAGCATGGGACTTAGGAGTTGGGAGTCAAAAAAAAAAGTCAACCAGGTGACTTTTGTTTAGTTAGATAACAATTGGAATCTAACCTTGATATCCTCTGTAATCTCTTCTAGCTCTGATAGTTTACAGAGCCTTATGAGAAGCTTTCTATAAGAAGCTTTTTCAGGTTAAGCATTTGTGTAAAGTTTCTCTTCTCTCTATAAATCACTACAAAGATAGGAGTGTAGGTTACCTTTCAAATTGGTGCTCTGTGGGTAGACAAGATATGGAAGCAAACTAAATATCCCCAAACAGACAAATGAGTCAAAACTTTGTGGCATATATACACAATGGAATATTGCTCAATGGTCAAAAAAGAAAATCATATCATTTGTGGTGACATGAATGGAACTGGAAGCAGGTCAGAAAGAAAAAGATAAATATTAGATAGTTTCACTTACATATGGAATATGGATAAACCAAACAGAAGGTCAAGAAAAAAACATAACTCATAAGCTGACCATAGAGTAAGAGGTGGAGAGAGAGAGGTCAAAACAGGGGAGGGAAGAGCACAAGAGACTGTGGACATGGCTCACGGGTGGTATGGGAGCAGGAGAACTACACCTGAGGGGAGAAATCGATTACTGCATAAAAACAACAATGATATATAAGAAAATAAATAAATCGATTTAGACTAAATAAATAAATCACTATAAAACTTCTCAAGGATAGGTGTTATGCCTTATTCCACTTTAACCTCCTAGGAGCTTGAAGCTCTAAAACAGAGCTGGGTGTGTGGTTAGCCTTCTTGTTGCTGCTGCTTATTAGTGAGGGGGTGGTGGTGATGGGAATGGTGGCAAAAGTCAGGTGCCAGACTCCCCATGTGGGCTTTACTGTAGACATGTAAAATGCATGAGTTATGCTTCAGCAAAGAAAACTCAGATCTGGGCATTTTAACCAGATCGTCAGCAGACATTGATTTGGCACAATTCTCTCTGGTTTGGCCATACCAAAATTTAGTAACTCCTGTCTTTAAGTAGGTCTGACTGAAGCCTAAGAAAAATTCCTTCCGTGTCTAAGATGTGTCGTGTTAACATTTTTACTTACAGAGCAAATAGACTATCAGAAGTGAACATTGCCAAACTCCTCTCCCACCAGTTCTAAACCTTTGTATATCTTGTCTCATCCTCTGTTGCCCTGACACCTCAGAATGAGTCAGAAGTTCCTCCTCTCCAGTAGCCTTACCCCCTCCCCTCTGGGCTGCCTCTTCATCCTCACACTCTCATTAATCTTCATCTTTTAAATTATTACAACCTCTTCAGCCACTGAAGTATCACTTCCCTGACTTTATGTCTTTCAAGAAAATAATCTCTTCATAAACATGTGGCTCCCTTACCACTGTCTTCTCTTCAAATGGCACTTATTTGTCAGCATATCACTATCAAATTGTTTGAGTGAGTAATTTATACACCTTTTCTCGACTTCCTCACATTCCTTTCACTCTTCAAAGCAATGCTTTCAACAACTTCGTTCCAAAGACATATTTTGTTCCCCGCATGAACAGCACAGAAATCAGGAACTTCTTAGCGAGAGCTCCCTATGTCTGGTGACTATTTTCTCAACCTCAGCTGAAGAATTTTTCCCTCTTGACCAGCTTTGTCTTCTCCATTTTTCTTCCCTTGGTGTCCTTGAAACTATTCTGTCCAAATTCTTATCATGAGTCTTTGAATTTTAAATTTCATTCTTATTTTGCCCTTATTCTTCCAAAGTAATTGTTTATATTTGGTCATTTTCCAGAACTTCATTCTAGTACTCTTCACTTTTGATAAGTGATTCTCTTCTCTGGCCGCTTCTCTAATCCTTTCCTTTCCCCCATAGATTTGACAGACCCAGAAGCCCATTTACACTCAACATCTCTTTCTTCTACATCCCCTACATTCATGCACTACATTGATTCATCAAAATATAGAGTCCTTCATGTTCTTCCCCACGGTCCATATTCAGTCATTTGCAAAGTCCTGCCATTATTGACACCTAAATATTTTTTCAACACATATCTTCTCCTCTCCATTACTCAGTTATTTGAATTTACATTATCAGCTCTCATAAGAATGATAGAAGTATCTTTCTCATGGATCTCCTTTATTTTTTGTTTCCTGCCATTCTAGTCCATTATGTATTTCACCATCTAATGATGTGCATCTCCAGCTTGAAGCCCTTTACTAACCTCCTACCACCTTTTCGGCACAAACAGTATGACTTTACTCCCTGTATTAGTTTCCTAGGGTTGCTGTAACAAATTATCACAAACTGAGAGGTTTAAAACAACTCAAGATTATTCTATAACAGTTCTGGAGGCCAGAGGTTCAAACTCAGTTTTTTTTTTTTCAAAGATTTATTTATTTATTCATACAGAACTGGGGTACAGGCTAGAGATGCGGAGGATGAGAGGATTCACCAGGAACAGAGTGGGGAGCAGAACAGGCAGATCGACGAAGCACACTGCTGAGGGGAGCAGCGGGCGGGTCAGGAGAGGTCTGCCACGCCATGTGGATCTCCTCTGGGGCAGGCCGGGATCGAACTCATGAGGAATTGGCTTAAGCCTCTTAGTGCAGTGGTTTAACCCGCTGCGCCACCAGGGAGGGCCTCAGTTTTTTTTTAATTAATTAATTTATTTATGCACACAGAACTGGGGTAC